TCATCTCTATGTATGTATTTATATCTGTCCTCATCTATCAGTGAAATCTGTCCCTCTATCATTTCTTTAGATCTCATCTATCTGTCTCTTACATCTATCTATCTGTCTATCTACCTATAAATCATCATCATCATCATCATATGTTAGTATTAATTACTTTACTGTTGCTGTAATAAAACAGCATTACCCAAACAGCAACAAAAACTGGGGACCAAGCCTTCAATCATCAAAGCCTATAAAGAAGCATTTTTATTCAAATCACTGTATTACTGTGTCACCCCCCATCTGTCTGTCTTGATATAATTTCTCTATATCTGTCTGACATCTCTCTAATCTACTCTGTTTAACAAAGATGTGTAATAGTCTATATTTGGGAATAGCATTTCCATGGAATTACACATTCCTCAATAGCATTATACATTCTGTTATGTGTAATGGTCTTTTTTTGGAAAAACATTTTCATGGTTATAGCTGAACATTATAGTGGGAACATGCCTGCCACAGTAGACTGTAGACCGATTCAGAGGGCAAGGAAAGGGAGTGATTTTCAAGATCAAAGGCATGGAATGGCATCAGTCACTTGAACTGGCCATTGCTGGCCATAATGATTCATAGCAGGAATGGCATTATTCCAAGGTGGAGAAGGTAGGTGCTGGACAAAGGACCTGCGTTGTGGTGTTGCGGCCATTGTACAGATGTGGACTTTCTAGTGATAATTTTGGTAAATATGCATAGGATCTCTTTCTTATAGCTTCCACGCCCTATTTATTTTTAAAAACTTTAAAAATCATGTGTATGCTCGTGTGTCCGTGTGGTGGTATGTCCATGTGAGTTAATGCTCAGGGATGGCGGAAGATGATTCTTGATTCTCTGGCACTGGAATTCTAGGCAGTTGTGGGTGCTGGGAACAGAATTCAGGTCCTCTGCAAGAGCAATGCTCTCTTGAACACTGGGCATCTCCCCAACACTGTTTGTTTTTAGTGATTTACAAAATCACTAAATGATTCCATATTAATCATCACAACTTGTATATTTTTCACACATTTGTTTTTTATTACTTTTCTATGCATTTTTCTCTTTTTAAGCAACACATTTCCTCCTTCTCCCCCTTGCTTTCTTCAATAACAGTAATTTTTTTTTTTTTTTTTTTTGGTTTTTCAAGGCAGGGTTTCTCTGTGTAGCTTTGGAGCCTATCCTGGCACTCGCTCTAGAGACCAGGCTGGCCTCGAACTCACAGAGATCCACCTGCCTCTGCCTTCCCAGTGCTGGGATTAAAGGCGTGTACCACCAACGCTGGGCACATTTAATGTTTTCTATTTTCCATCTTATTTTCTGCTGTTTTAATGTGTTAAACATCTTTAACTATTTTTTTGATAATTATCCCAGATGGAAACATGCCTGCTAAACTTAAAGAATAATTTAAATTACCATTACCACTCTCTTGAAAATGCTAGCTACATCCAGAACAGCAGAACACGGAGACACAACGCATTCTTTTTGTCCTTGGCATTAATGTTGCCACGCACTTTAATTCTACACGTATTTTGAGCCTGGCCACACATTGCTGTTTTGTATAGTTGGCATTCATTGGTTGTGCTGTATGTATAGAATTGCTTTTCATCTCTCTTTTAACTTCAGGTTTCCCTCAGGGGCCGTTTTCCTTCTGTCAAAAGAGTTTCCCTTAGAATTTCCGTTAGAAGAAATCAGCTACAGGCTTTGTGTATATGAAAATGATTTATTTCATGTCTGTGTTTGAAAGATACTTTCATTTGACACAGCCCTCCAGATTGGCAGTTTTCTTCCTCCAGGTGTTACTCTATTTTCTTCTGGTTTCCATCATTTCTGTGGAGAAGACTGCTTCCCAATTCACTGTTATTGTCACATCCTTAAAGATAGTATAATTGTGTGTGTGTGTGTGTGTGTGTGTGTGTGTGTGTGTGTGTGTGCTGCCCTCAAGGTTTGTCTTTGTGGTTATTTGCATAGGAAATAACCTATGTGGGCTGTATAGGAACACTTTCCTTTGCATTTATTTTGCATTGACTGGGGTTTGGGGTTGAAGCCTTTGGTCCGCATTCTAATGACTGCCCTCCCTCATGGTCCTATGTTTCTGCTGATACTTCAGTTACATGTGTGCTAGATCTCTCCTCTGTACCTCCCTCTTCCATACTCTTTTCTGTAGTTTTCTCCTTTGTTTGTGTTCTTAGTAACTTTTCTCTGGGTTGTCTTCCATTTTACTATTTTTGTTTCTTGCTGTGCCTAGTCTCTGTTTAGCTAATACAGTGAATTCCTAATATTATTACATTTTTTAACTTGGCAACTTGCATTTTAAAAATCCATTTCTGTATTACAATGATCCACCCTGACTTCTGTTTTTCCCACCTTTTTTTTTTTCTGACATTCTACTGTTTCATTTTTTTTTCTAATTAAGAAAAGATGTTTTATTTGTAGTTGTGTGCCTGCTTGTGTGTCTCTGTCTGTGTGTAAGCACATGTGTGGTACTCAGAGTGGCCAAAAGAGGGTGTTGGATTCCCTGGACCCTGTTGTGAGCTGCCATGTAAATGCTGGGAACCAATCTCAGGTCCTCTACAAGAATAGCAGAACTCTTGACCACTGAGCCATCACCCCAGCCCCCATGTTTCCTCTACTTTTGATGTTCCCATTAACTGACTACAAGAAATCTCTTGTGCTCTGGGCCATTATCTTTTCTTCTTTGGTTTGTCCATGGGAACCATCTTCTGCTGAGATTAGTGAGTTCTATTTGAAGAGTGGACCATACATATGCAAAACGGTGGAAGCTCCAGACTGTGTGTTTGTCTTCCTGAGATGGCTCATCCCATCTACTGGGCTGAGCCTCTTGGTCTTGTAGAAGACTGTGCTTGGGCATCGCTGTATTGTAAGCCCAGTCATTTCTGTTGCTGTGCTAAAAATACCTGCCCCAACAAAAGGCAACTTAGGGGAGAAAAAGTTTGTCTTTCAATTCTAGGTCACAGTCTTATCATTTCCAGGAAGTCAAGGCAGGCACAGCCATAGTCAAGAGCAAAGAGATAATAAATACACCCTATCTGCTGTCAGCTATCATTATCATCTCTAATCCTTTTCAGGAGCCCCTTGCATGGGAATGGTGCCACCCACAATGGGCTAGGTCTTCTCACACCAACTAATCCAGATAGGCCTCCATAGACATGCCCACAGGCCAACCTGTTTTAGATAATTTCTCGTTAAAACTGTCTTTCCATATGATCCTAGGTTGACTTTTAAAACCAACAAAAGCTTTTATTTTAGGCTTGGTCAGTTTGGGCACTTGGTTTCAAGAGAGCTTGAGGTGGGCTGGGTGCCTTGGCGGCCTGATGAGCTGCAGATTGCATTTTATTTTCCAAGGTTCTCCAGTGTTCCCACTCAAGCATCTGCTGTGCTTTGTTTTGTTTGCTTTTTTACTTTTTGTCTTTTATCTGTTGTGTTATTGGAAGTCCCTTTCCTTGATTTCTGAAACTCCAGTTATTTCTTCTGTAGGCTGGTACCAGTTCCACTTGGCTGTCGAGAAGTTTTCATTTTAGTGTTTAGCTTCACACACCATGCAACTCCAGAAACTGGCAAATGTCCTGGGGTGACAGAAAATTATAACTTATATACAGTAAACGGCATATATCAGCATTCATGGAGCCAGTGTACAAGATCCTTACTGTTCATTTAAAGCATAGCTGAAGCTCTTGACACTTTCCTGGTTTCCATTGCCTTATAATGAATGCATTGGTATAGTGCCATTACTGAAAATAATTTTGAATTTACCATTATAATGTCATTTTCAAATGGTTATGCAATCCTGTTATGTTTAGGCAATTAAGTCTCCTTAGGCTAGATCAATAACATCATGACACCTCCCAGCTATTTGCATCGGTGCCCACCATTGTTTCCCTACCACCTGCCAACAGGAGTTCATGACTCTGTAATTTTAATTGTTCAGTACATCATTTAAGCAAACCTCTACTTGGAAATCTTTATTTACAAAACAGGTGCACTGGGTTGCAATTTCCCACTTTATACAGAATTCCTTGTTTTAGAGTAGAACTCATTTAAATGTAAGATTACCTCTGGGGTAATTAATTATCACTGAGTTTATGAAATTTTCCATTGTGTACAAGTTTCAGGTGGGGTCTATTTTTAATTAGGCAAGAAACTAGTTTACATTAATAAAACATCTGAGTTGCTACATTTTAAAATGTAAATGCAACTTGCAGTAACTGCTAATAAATAATTTATAGATGGAACTTGTTTATGATGAGCAGCATATATCAGCATCCATGGAACCAGCATACAAGAGCCTTATTGTCCACGTAAGGCAGAGCTGAAGATCTTGCCAGTTTTCTGGTCCCCATTTCCTCTTAAATAGATGCACTGGTGTAGTGCTATTTCTGAACATAATTTTGAATTTACCGATAGAATGTCATTTTTTTCAAATGGTTATAAGAACCTGCCACTTTTAGACAATTAACTCTCCTTATATTAGTTACATAACATTAGGAGTTAAGAATACTGGCAGAAGGCTTGAAGATAGAGCTCTACAAGAGTAATTATCTGGAATGCACAAGGCCTGGGCTCCATTAGCAGTACCACAAAATCCAATAATTAATGAATAACTGAAAGCTGCCACAAAGCATGTCAAATGAGAATGTTTTGGGGGGGCAGGATTAAAGCTAAAATGGTTCATCATTTCCCCTTCCTTTTCTTCCTTTGTCTCCTTCTTTCCATACTTATCTTTGTATAGATTATGTCTTTTTAGGCTTATGAAGTGTGTCAAGTTACCAGCAATATGTATTGTGAGTCCACCACTCTGATGCATATCTCAAAAGCTGTGTATGAAATCACATTTCCCTTTTGATGGATGCTGGAGATGGCACCTCATACTCGCACAGGTGCCCTGTCAGCTCCCTTAGTTATGTGGGTGCAGGGTGCACGGTGGGAGCTTCTCCTCAGGAACCCACAGTGTCGTGTGTTTCTTGCAGGCTTTATGAAAACAAGGGGGAGGCCGAGTTCGTGGAGTCCTTGTTGCAGCTGTTCCAGTCCATCAACGATATGATGAGCAGCATATCAGAGCTCACAGTCAGGGTGAAGGTAGGTGCCACCACGCTCAGCCAGGCTCAGGCAGCTCCCTCCTGGGCTGAGTGACCTGAGTCATGAGTGCAGTCTTGGTCTATGTGCAGTGAATTGTCATCTTCTTCCTACCTAGGTGGCTGAAGTATTGCTTCTCTCTTTGCTTTGTTCCAGAGAAGTTCTGAATGTATTTTATATAAATAGAGAGAAGCATATTAAAGTCAGTTTAACAGCCCACTTGTCAGGGCATCTGGCACCTGAGACTGTGGGAGGAATGCTGAGGTAGATAGAGCTTTAGTCAGACCTCAGGCTGTGAAGAGGGGATGACTCCATTGTCCCTTCTCTTCACCCGTTTCTTTTGTATGTGTTTATGTGTACGTGTGTGCATGTTGAGGCCAGAATTTGACCTTAATTGTCATTCTTCAAGTATCTTCCACTTTTTTTTGGTTGTTTGTTTTAGATGAGGTTTTACTAGTTGGCCCAGAATGCACTATATGGACTAGGCTGCCCTTGAACTCACAGAGACCTACTTGCTTCTGAAGTGTTGAGATTAGTGGCATGCACCATCATGTCCAGCCCACTTTTTGTTTTTGAGACAGGGTCTATTGCTGAGCCTGGAGCTTTATAGTTAGGCTATCCTGGCTGACCAGTTAGCTTCAGGGATCTTCCTTTCTGTACTTGCTCATTCCTGAGATCTTAAGTGTGTATCACCGTGCCTAGCATAGATATGTATGCTCACCCGAGCTCAGTTCCTCATGCTTTGCATACAAGTGCCTCTAATCGTTGAGCCCTTTTGCTGCCCCAGTACCCCCATTTGGTTTTGCAGGGTTGAATTCAGGTCTTCATGCTTCATTCATTTACGATCGCCTCTTCTTGTTCTGTTGTCCTTGGGAAGAAGGCTTGGGACTCCTCCAGGACTTACTGGCGTGGTGTCATCTCAGAGACCGGGTGTGGAGAGGCCCTGGGGAACAGTCCCAGGCTCCTGCTCCCTTGGGCATCCCTGTTATGTGTACTTTTATGGGCTGCTTTATGACCAAGCAAGCTGTGCAGTTTGGAGTTTGCTGCCTACAACACTCGCAGCAAGGAACAAAAGCAAACCTTCTAAGTGAATCCTTGTAGCTTCACTCTCCACACTGAAGCAGCATCTTTTCTTCCTTTGTGTTCTTTTAGTGGATAAATTCAAATGAGTTCTTTGTTGTTATTGTATTAAAAGTGTTTGGTACAAGTCATCTCCAAGCTGTTGAGCTGTGCTGTCTGTGATGAGGATATGTGTGTTCAGAAGTGGTTCCTTGTCACAGTTGCCAAGGTGACTCTCCTAGTCAAGCAAGAGTAAAGCTGTGACTTTCCTTCTGCCTCCAAGGTGGCTCCTGGATGAACCTTGGGATCCCTTGCCCAATTTTGACATGGGTTTCCCTCAAATAGGTGATCTATGAAGAAAGCCATGTCCTACATATATTAAAAGTTTTAGGTTAGTGGTTTTGACAGTGTGATATTGCCCAAAGCTGCTTTAACCTTCCAGGGTTAAAATTAGCTTTCCACCAGTACATTTTACTGAGAAATGCAAGTGGCATTTGAGAGAAACAGACACATATTGTGCAAGAATAGATAAAAACAGTTCCAGGAAGTTTCAAGACCAGAAGTAATTTTAGTTGGCTAAATATATTCTTACATGATTAAGTTTGATTGGGCTTGACTGGTGTCTGCCTGCCTCCCTGGAAGTCAAGTCATTTGTCAGTGGAGCCTGGAAAGCTTTCCCTCCGGTGGGTGTTTTATTGTAAGACATGGATGAATTCAGTGACGTTCATGCTTGCTGCGGGCCTTCCATCTGCAAGTTGGAAGACTAGTTTCTTCCTTTACTGTTAATTTGGTATTGCATGAGCTCACCACATTCGCTTTTTCAGCATTGCTGATTTAAGGGTCCTTGGACTTGGGTCCTGGTTCATGTGCTATTTTTACTCTTTCTGTTTTGCCATGTGGAAATGGAAATAGGATCATGCAGTATCTTAAGTTGAGAAAGTGTTTCTCTTGCTGGGACATTTTTTAGGATGAAATATTGTTTCCCTGAGGGCTGCCTGTAGGTACCTGCTTTGATTTGCTGGTGCTGGGATTCAGGTCATATGCTTGTTCTCATGATGCCTATGCCTGCAAGTGTTGTGTATATGTGTATGATGTGTGATTATATGTCTATATGTAATATACTGCTATATGTGTGTATCTTGTGGGGTGTGAAAATTGTGTGTGTGTGTGTGTGTGTGTATGTGTTTGAATGCATGTGTGAATATATATGAGTAAGCATGCATGTTTATGCCAAATGAGTGTATGGATTGTGGTGTATGTTTCTTTATTTCTCTGTGTGCATTCATTTGTAGTGTTTGTCGTATATATGAAGCTGAAAATGGTTCATGAGAAATGTCAGCCCTTATCCCACACGATGCACTCAGGCGTTTTCTATTCTCTTCTAGTCTCCTTTAGTTTATTCTAGGCTAATGTTTTTCAGTAGTAGAATTGCTTGCTGGGAGGCTCTGTGTTTCAGCCAGGACTAATGGATCTCAGCCTGCATTTGCAAGCAGTGCTTTTTACTGTTCTTTGGGGCTTGTTCCCATCTTTTCTGTACAGAATAGTATGAATATATTATCATAGTTCTTTGCACTTTCTCCACTGTCTTGTGGAGCCGCAGGCCCCTGCCACTTGGCCATGTGGCTGGGGCTGGAGTGAAGACTAATTGAATTTTAGTCTCCGGCACTGAGAATGATACACAGACATGTGAGGGTCTGTCTCCTTCCAGGGACTGCCCTTAGGGAGAAGCCCTCCTGTATGTCCCCTTTGTCACCCTCTCCTGGTGCGATTTCCATCTGTCCTTCCTAAAAGGGAGCTGTGTTGGAATGATGCCATTCTGTAATAAGTTGGAGTTGATGGGTGGGTTTTGCCCTCCAAGAGACATGATTTTAATGTTCCTAAAATAATCTTTGCCTTATGTCTTATGTCAAATTCTTCCGCATGGAAAACTTTTACTGCTTTTTGTCTATGTACTTCTAAACTGGCATCTTGGGTTTCTAGTACTTCTCACAAACTTCAAAGTTTACAGTTTTATTTTCCCCAGAAAAAAGTCTGAATGCTCGAGGGGCAATGACAACTAACTGTCAGATGTGACAGTTTCCACCAATGAGAAGTCTGGCTTCAAAGAGCTTTGACCTGCCCAGTTACAGTTTCCACCTTTGCAGAGCTTTGACCTGCACAGTACTTCATGTACGATGACAGCAGTGCCCATTTACACGTTCTCTCCAGGGCTCTTTGATTTTCCTCCCTAGGTTCAAGTTCATAAAACACAGGAGATCTGGTCATCACCTCAGCTCTCGGAGCTGCTGCTGGGGGCACTTTATTCTACACTTGTGTGGTTTTCCTCTGAATGTGGAGCCATCCCACACAGACACAGATCTGTATGTTGAGCCACGTGTTTGCCGAGTGTTCTCCCTCAGTGTACATGGGACATTGCCTCCGGGACTCCACAGAGTCAGACAGAGACCTGAGATGCTCAGATCCCTTAGAAAAATAAAATAGCATTTGCAAATAACCTTTGCCCATCCTCCCCTATAGTCTATTTTTTAGTATTAACTTAATTTTTTAGGAAGAGGAAAGATTTCTTTTGCCTCACGGTTTGAAAGTGCTCAGTTTACATCGAATCTTCTCTGTTTGCGTAGCTTATGTTACCTAATTCAGTATAAATGCCATGCAAATAGTGTTCTTGAAGAGGGAATGATGAGAAAAAAAGTGTCTGTATATTTTTGGTTCAGACATATTTCCTCACATCTGGTTTTGGTCAATGCTTGGTTAAAACCCATCAATACAGAACTTAAAGTGGCAGGGCTGATAAAATGTAACATATATGCTCTATATTTCTTTTCACACATAGACTGCTATAACTACAATTACTTTGGCATGGGTTTACAATATAACCAGTAATTCTCTCTGTGCATCTCTGTCATCTCTCCTGTGTGTGTGTGTGGGGGGGGGCATGTGTGCACATGTGTGTGCAGTTGTTGATAGGACAGAGGTATAGGGTTTCCTTGGAGATAGAGTTACAGGCAGTTGTGTGAGTCCCCTGACTTGAATGCTGGGAACCAATCTTGAGTCCTCTGCAAAATCAGTATGCATCCTTAACCACTGGACCATAGCCTGACCCCTCCCCCAGTGTTTTCACCAGCACATTGTCATCATTGTACTGTAACTCATTTAATCCACTTCCTCTTTCAGAATACCTAGGTAGTTTCCCCTTTTCTTTTTTCATGATCAACTCTTTAGGAGCTTAGCTGGCCATCTCTAGTTCTGGCAGAAGCCTTGTTCTATCTGGTCTACCCTGACGCCTTCAGTTTCCAAACCCCTCACAGTTCTCCTGTAATTGCCCTCTGCACTCTCAGGACTTGTCTCTCACGTGAGACATCTGTGCTTTCTATCTGCCTGGTGTTGTTAAATAAGATGGTTGTGACGTTGTTTCCTGTGAGTCTAGTCCTGTCCTAGCTCCCACTTAATTCTCAGTGGCATCGAGTCAGGAGGGATCCACTTAGTCTCTCAGCACCTACTCTTGTCACCTTTGTTCTTATGGTTATTGGCCATGTTGGGGAAGGAGAAGAGGGCTGTATTAAGGATGTTAGCCAGTGAGGGACTTGACCATTGTAGACCAGGAAGCAGCTTAAGAAAGTCAGATTCTGAGTCTCCAAGTTTTGTTCAAAGCAATTCTCTTTCCTTCACTTCCTTTCCTTTGAGGTTGGGAGGGGACCAACTGTGTGTCAGTGGGCAAGATGGACATGATGGAGACTTTCCTTGCAGGTTTCTCATATTTCTGAGGCACAAGATGTGGTACTCCTCATGGGGACTTTCCAGGTCATGTCACTGCAGAAGGAAAAAGACTTATATAGGAACAGCTGAGTCTGGCAGCCCAGGAGCAGCCAGCCGTGACAGGAATGGCTATACTTGGTTGAGAATCAGCCACAGGCCAGGCCTTCTAGAGTGTAGTGCTGACAAGA